GAAGTAGATTGTCCCATCTTCCTTCCATGGAGCAGCTGGTTGGTTTGAACCACAAATCTTCTGGTTAGCAGTCAAATGCCTTAGGCACTACATCAACAGAGCTCCATTAAGACACAATATTTTCCACTGCAACTTTTATAGTTTTTATGTTTCACACTTAACATTTAATCCATTTGAAGATAATTTTTTGCATGTTATGAAATAGGGACTTAATTTTATCTTCCTCCACATACATACCAACTTCCCAAATCATATACTGAATAAAGGAGCTCTGGTGGCATAGTGGTTAAAGAATTCAGTTACTAAACAAAAGGTCAGTGCTTAGAACCCACCAGGCTCTCTACAGGCAAAAGATGAGGCAATGTGCCTCTGTAAAGATTTACAGCCTTGGAAACCCTATCGGGTAGGTCTACTCTGTGCTACATAGTATCACTATGAGTCAGAATCCACTTGATAGCAGTGAGTTTGGTTTTATACTAAATAACATGTCTTTTCCTCCAATTGATTATTGATGTCATCTCCATCATATGCCAACTTCCCATACACATTGCCTCCAATTCTGATGCATAGCTGTATTTGTAACTTGTACAATATTTGGTAAAGCAAATTCCCCTATTATTGATCTTTTCCAAAATGTTCTAAACTAGTCATAAACTTTTAGTTTTCCAAATAAATTTTTAATTTTTTTTCAAAGTTTCCACGAAAATTATTTTGGGATATTGACTGCACTGAATTCAAATTAGAGATTTAGAGAGAAGCTATTTATTTTAACATTCATTTTAAAAACTCAGTCTAGGATCCCAATTTCATTTTAATGTCTGTGGTTCAAGTTCTCTCAATGGTAGGATGCTGTTGAAATTTCAAAACACACTGGAAAAAAACTGACTGAAGTATTTAATTAACATATTAGACAAAAAGAAACAGAGTACACCCAAAGAAATAAGAAAGATAATGATAGAGGAAAACACAAAACATTAGAGGCAATTAAAGAAACCAAAAGCTGATTATTTTGTAATAAGATAGAAAAACTTCTGATAAGATTAATCAATAGAGAGAATGTAATTTAACAAAATATATTAAAAGGAAGAAATAGAGAGATAACAGATTTTAAAAATTCTTCAAAAATACTATGAAAGATATATATTCATAAATTTGAAAACAGAGATTTTAAAATATATATTTCTTGTATATTTAAATAAGAAAATGAAAATAGGGGTTCAGTAGAGCTATTGAAACACACACACACATACACACACCCCAATTCAGAATATATATTTCTTGTGTATTTAAACAAGAAAATGAAAATAGGGGTTCAGTAGAGCTATTGAAACACACACACACATACACACACCCCAATTCAGAAACAAGAAGCTTCTGTTCATATTCATTTATAATTTCATACTTACGCTGGCATTCAATAAATTCATCAGCATTGGTCAGTTCTCTGATAAAATCCTTAAAATTCACCACATCATCTTTAAAAAGAAAAAAAAAAGAAGAAATAATTTATACAGTCTTGTAAAAAAAAAAAAAGACTATTTAATGTTAAAAAACGAGAATTAAAAAATACAAAAATAAAGTGGAAGAATTGCAAATATCTTATGATTTATCTGGTATACAGATTAGGTTCAAAACAAAGCTGTCAGAGATATTACTTTGAAAACTAATTTCTTTAATGCTAATGCATCAATTAAAAAAAATAAGAAAGAATTTTTAATTTTCTTTTGAAATACAAATGTGTGTGTGTCTCTGTGTGTGTAACTCCTTGGACATTTAGAGAGAATTTATTTCCTGAAATACAATAGCTTTATTGGTCTAAAATAAAATAATTACTTACTACTAGGGTTAGTATTTTCCAAAGCTGTCTGTATTTTATCATCTGCTAAATGGATTCCTATGGCATTTAACTTTTGCTGGAGTT